TGGGACGAGGGCAAGGGGAATGTGCAGATCCTGCGCCTTTCTTGGACGAGGGAGAGGAACTGTAGGGCTGGAGAGGGGAAGGTTGTCTGCAAAAGGCTCCTGCCCCTCTCCAGTCAAGGGTTTGCCTGCGTGGAGCGAGGCAGAAGGGAAGGGAGGAATGGTGGCTGGATATGGAGGGAGGTGGATTGCTGATCCAGGACCATGGGATCATGGACGGGTTTGGGTTGGAAGGAGCTTCAGGATCACCCAGTTCCACCCCCTGCCATAAGCAGGGACACCTTCCCCTAGCCCAGGTTGCTCCAAACCCCATCCAGCCTAGCCTGGAACACTTCCAGGATGGAGCAGCCACAGCTGCTCTAAGCAAGCTCTGCCAGTACCTCAGCACCCTCCCAGGGAACAATTCCTTTCCAATATCCCATCTAACCCTGCCCTCTGGCAGTGTGACATATTCCCCCTTGTCCTGTCCCTCGGGGCCCTTGTCCCAAGTCATTCTGCAGCTCTCTTGGAGCCTCTTTAGACATTGGAAGGGGCTCTAAGGTCTCTCTGCAGCTTCTCTTCTCTAGACTGAACATGGCATCTGACTCCCAGCTGTTCCCACCTCCATCCAAAGCCAGGAAACACCTCCCAGTCGCAGGGGCCAGGGATCCCTGCCCATCCCACACTGTCCCCAAGGCAACAGAGCCTCCACCTTTCACCTCTCCATGAACAAACCATTCGAGCTTAGTTCCATTTTTCCTTTTAATGCAAAAAAATAGCCAAACACATCTTCCTGCCCTCCCCCCTCCCTCCCCAGGTGTGTTTCCTTTGCTCTGTTGTTTGCTTAATATTTCCAGCCAAGCAGCTCCCCCCTCCCAGCCCTCCCAAACCTCTGCAGCTCCACAGGCACCCGGTGCTTCCCCCTTCCCCCTTCCCACCGTGGTGGAGCCCAAAGGGACCCCCAACCACGGCCAAAAAAAAAAAAAGAGGGAAAGATGGAAAACAGCAGGATGCACAGGATTTCAGCAACGTGCCAGTTCTAATCCTGCCAAGAGATTATAGGAAGAAAGAAGAAAACCTAATAGAAAAATAACCCCCAGACGAGTAGCGACAAGCACGGAGCAGCCTCAGCACACAGTGTAAACAGAAGCTGTCCCGATCCGGAGTCTGGATCTCCTGGAAAGCAACAGCACAACATGCTTTGTACACCCCAAAAAGGTCCCTGTGGTGCTGAGCAGCCAAGGGGGAGGGGCTGGGTTGAAGCTCGAGTTGATATTTGTTGCCTTTCTGCAAAAGGCTGAAGTGACCTCAGAGTCTCCAAGTGGTGTTGGCAGCACCAAGCCTGGCCAGGCAGGGACAGGGATGGGGACAAAGTGCCACAGGAAGAGGTGGGATTGGGATATAGGGAGCCCAAGAGGAGGTCCCAGGGCTTTGCAGCTGGGAAATGTGGATAAGGGAAAGGAGAGAGCAAACAAATACAAAAAAATAGATATAAAAACAATCTGTGTGGAGGAGGACATGGACAGTGAATCCACGTTACTGTCAGCGTCCCCAAAGCAAGAACAGCAATAAAAAAATCCCAGTTGAGGTGACAGTGAAGAGTCCAACAGAATTCCCTTCTCTGGGGAAAAATCAAAATACAAATGAGGTACCTGTTCCACCCCAAATCCATCACCCCTTCCCACAGCCACATCCATGCTCCAGCCACTGGTTATTGTCTCTCAAATGAAGTCTCCAGGGCCAGGGCAGCCCTGGAGCAGAAGCACCAAGTGTGTGGCCAGGCCACGGCGCCGGGAGTCCCCGGGCAGTTCCTCCTGGTTGGGTTGTCCAGCAGAGATCCAGTCTCTCCTTGACCCTGCAGACAGATGGTATTGTTCAGTGCTCCAAGGACACGGAGCCTTCTCCAGGTCTCACGTGTTCCTCCAGCTTTTTTTTTGTTTGTTTGTTTTAGAAAACAAAATTATATATATATATTATATACAGTACAATGAAAATATCCATGGAAACAAATTTGGGTGGCTGGAAAAGATGCTTAACAAAAAAGCCTGAAATAAACCAAATTCCCAACTCTTCCCCAAACTTGACGTTTGCTTTCCCCATTAGTCCTCCAAGACCACAATCTCCACGTTATGGACCTGGTGCTGATGGTCCTCCACATCTCCCACCACTTTCTCCTCAGTCCTGAGCTCTGTCTCCAGGATCACAGCTTTGCCCTCCGACTCATCCGTGTCTGCCTCAGGATCTGGCGCCGGGTCGATCTCTATGATGGTCTGACCATCATCCGCGGTGCCCTCCACGGCCTGGATGGTGGAGGTGAGCCCAGACTCCATGGCCACCAGTTCCACAGGGTTGACCACAGTTGCCACGTTGGCCAAGGCCCCACTGTCCTGCATGGCTGCCGAGCTGAGCAGCGCCAGGCTGGAGGACGGGTGCAGGGTGACCGTGT